TCTAGAAACTTTGAAAAAGTTCTAGAAACTTTGAAAAAGTTCTAGAAACTTTGAAAAAGTTCTAGAAACTTTGAAAAAGTTCTAGAAACTTTGAAAAAGTTCTAGAAACTTTGAAAAAGTTCTAGAAACTTTGAAAAAGTTCTAGAAACTTTGAAAAAGTTCTAGAAACTTTGAAAAAGTTCTAGAAACTTTGAAAAAGTTCTAGAAACTTTTAAAAAAATCTAGAAACTTTGAAAAAGTTCTTAAAACTTTGAAAAAGTTCTAGAAACTTTGAAAAAGTTCTAGAAACTTTGAAAAAGTTCTAGAAACTTTGAAAATGTTCTAGAAACTTTGAAAAAGTTCTAAACACTTTGGAAAAATTCTAGAAATTTTGAAAAAGTTCTAGAAACTTTGAAAAAGTTCTAAACACTTTGGAAAAGTTCAAGAAACTTTGAAAAAGTTCTAGAAATTTTGAAAAAGTTCTAGAAACTTTGAAAAAGTTCTAGAAACTTTGAAAAAGTTCTAGAAACTTTGAAAAAGTTCTAGAAACTTTGAAAAAGTTCTAGAAACTTTGAAAAAGTTCTAGAAACTTTGAAAAAGTTCTAGAAACTTTGAAAAAGTTCTAGAAACTTTGAAAAAGTTCTAAACACTTTGGAAAAGTTCTAAACACTTTGGAAAAGTTCTTAACACTTTGGAAAAGTTCTAGAAACTTTGAAAAAGTTCTAGAAACTTTGGAAAAGTTCTTGAAACTTTGGAAAAGTTCTTGAAACTTTGGAAAAGTTCTTGAAACTTTGGAAAAGTTCTAGAAATTTTGAAAAAGTTCTAGAAACTTTGAAAAAGTTCTAGAAACTTTGAAAAAGTTCTAGAAACTTTGAAAAAGTTCTAGAAACTTTGAAAAAGTTCTAGAAACTTTGAAAAAGTTCTAGAAACTTTGAAAAAGTTCTAGAAACTTTGAAAAAGTTCTAGAAACTTTGAAAAAGTTCTAGAAACTTTGAAAAAGTTCTAGAAACTATGAAAAAGTTCTAGAAACTTTGAAAAAGTTCTAGAGACTTTGAAAAAGTTCTAGAGACTATGAAAAGGTTCTAGAAACTTTGGAAAAGTTCAAAAAATTAAAAAAAAAAAATTCCACTATAAAATTTACACAATAAAAAAACTTAAACTCTAAAATCTAAATAACGGTGCTGCATCACTTAATACTCTTTAACCAAATGTTTTACAAGAGATCAATGGGATTTTCAATTGCTGCATTTCAAAATTATCAAAATTTGCAAATTGATTTTTAAGATTAAATGATGGGAGTTTGAAAAAGGACTTTTTTGAGAAAACGCCAAAAGAAAAAGAAAATCAGTAGAAAATTTAAAACAATTGTTCAGTTTAAAAACATACCAAAGTTGAAAAACCTAATAAAAAGTGCTAAAAATATCCTGCTTGATACAATTTTTTTTTTCTTCTTTATCATCCTCATTGTGTTTTTTGCGACAAATTATTTTTTGTTGCAACTTGTTTTTATTAGCCTTTCTCTATTTGGCATCTGAAAGTTGTTAATAGTTCAAGTTTTAAAAGCCTTTATAAGTATGTACTCCTGTAACCATCGTCAGAGTTTCATGGACTAAAATTAACTCTTTTCTATCATTAATAAAATTAGCAACTACTTCATACACTACAAATATTACTTAAATGGTATAAACTTTGTGTTAGGTAAACGGTTCAAGTAAAGTGTTTAAATAAAATAATATATTCAAATTTTAACTTATAAACATTTTTCAAATGAATTTAACCATTTAAAATTACAAATACTCTGAACAAAAAGTAAATTAAAGTATAAGGTATAGAAATAATAAATTTAAACTTTTAACTTATAAACATAATTCCAGTTTAAAAATACAAAGAATTACTCTGAAGAGGAAAAAGAATAAAGGTTTCACAGAAATGTTTACACGATTAAACTTTAAGCATATTTCAAACTAATAAGAAACTTATTATTTTAGCATTAGACCTAATACAAATTTACAGTAAAAACCAATTATTTTTAATAGTCTAGAATAACAAAAAAAGAATTTTACAAACTGTATAAACCAGGGATTGGCAATCTTTTGAGACGGAAAAGCCGAAAGTTACAATATACAATGTCATTTTACATAGAGTTACCAACATCTATATTTTGTATTATATTTAGCGATGTGTAGTTCCAAAAAGGAATCCGGTTTTGAACATCACAAAGAGATTACATCTTCCTATTTTTTGTTAGTTAGGAGTTATAATAATATAAAAACGCCTATGGATTACTATTTTAAGACTCTTAGTTAAAGAAACAATCTCTTTTTAAACCCTGAGACCTTAGATATAATGGCGACTCTGGGACTCCGGGCTTAATAACAATATGTTTGAAGTAACTAAATTTCACGAGTTTTTTTATTTAGCAGATCATAAATCTTTTGGACATCAGAGACCAGTAAAAAACAGGACATAAAACCGGAGTCCTTTTGGGACGCATCCCCAATTAAACTAATATTTGCGCATG